AAGTGGCATTTGTTAAAGCTAAGAGAGTATAATGTAGATATTCAACTACATAAAACACACATTTAAATTGAAAAGGATATTTAAAGCATGTGCAGACACCTATAAAATACAAGCGGGCCTAAAATCCTGTAGAACAAACATTTCCAAATCAATTTCTTGCCACCATGGTCCAACTTCAAAAGGTATTAAACAGTCCTATTCTACCTTAGTAGAACATTTCGAAGTATTCTAAAGCAGACAATTTAAACATTAAAGAAAACCCAAGGAGAACTTTACAAGACATTACAGACTTTCCCCTATTTGTCACAGTACAGAAGTGTTTGAACTTAAACAGCAGTAAATTATTAATTATGTTGCTTATAAAGTCTCAAGAGTAAGAAAAGATTTTCTGAAAGTGGAAGAAAAGGATTCTGTATCAAGTTTAAAACCAAGTATAACAGAAATTAAACACCAAGCCACCTAAAGAACAACAGCAAAAAAAAATACACATGCCTGGCTGTGTTCTTTACCACTTGTTGAAATCAATTAACAATTCATTATACCTATCAAACTTTCTTTAAATATGAGCTGAATTAATTTATTCTCAGTGTGCATTAATCGAACAAGCACATTAAAAGAAGTCAGACCAGTAAGAACATTTGTATTGTGACAATGAAACCACTAAGGCTGAAAGAAAAATTGTGATTTTATGTTTCCAAATACGGTGATTGAGCTGTTAGTGTTGTCCTGTTCTAGCATAGTTCACCTGTCATTCAGACAGGTTTCATTTCCAAGATGTCTACAACCAACAGTAATCAAAGAAAAACAGTTTCAGTGATCGAAATATGGAAGGAGATTCCTGAAATATTTTTTCAAGATTTTCATTTAAACCAAAAAAGGCCAATGAAATCCTAAAAGTTCATCATCTGCCATGTTAATGCTGAACACACTGTTGTTTCATTTACATTTCTGGTCCTGTTAAAACAAATACACTTGTCTAAAACAGAACATCTGTTTTGGTTATAAAACAATGTATCTTTGGCAAGAACTCACAATAGAACTAACATAAATAATCAAGAATATTTATTGAACCTTGTAAGAAAAACTGATTTGTAACAAAAAACCTGAAGACTAGATATGACTGTCTCTGGGCTCTAGTCCAGTCCTAATCTAAGACAATAAACATAGCTCTAAAAGGGAAACTACATTCAAAAAAAAAAAAAAATCCTGCAGTTATTTAGGTTGGATGTAGGTATCTGAAAGCATGTTGGTTACATAGTGAAAAATATTTCCTTTAATTTGAAAACTGTCAAACTGAGTCCAGACAGGTTTTAAAGCCACATGAAAAATCATGCCATGTGCCTCATTTACTACTACTGTCTTCACTGATTTGTCTTCTCTTTGGAAAACTTCAGTAAAACTATATGTAGTTTGCTCTTGTCCTTGCTGAGGATTTGTTATTGTAGTTGCTTGCTTTTCATGTATTTATTAGCACTAAAAAAAGACAAAGCAGTCACCAAGTAAAATATTACACTGTTTTTGAGAGAAACTGAAGTGAAGAAAATTATTTTGGAAATCTCTTTTGATACCAATACAACTGAAAGGTTTTAAAGTGAGAATCAGTTAATTTGATTCTTACCACACAACTGAAAAACAGGTGAAACTGTTCTCATTTAAGTCAGTAGTTAAGTGTTCACTAGTCATGCACTATTTTGAAATTAGTGTACAGGACTTTAATAGTAGAGAGGTTATTTCATCATATTTCAGCATGTACCCCACATACATGCAATCAATTAAGTGTTCAGCTGGTTATTATCATTAACCTTCATTAAGGTTCATACCTGTCCAGATTATTTGTGCATATATCAATTGCACACATCTTCTCTCTAAAACTACATATTATTATTGTCTCATTTCCCTGGAAATGCATGATCCAAGTTCCATATGATGAACTGGACATAAAAGTATGGACAGATTTTTATTTTTTTATAACAATTTCCGATCCTTTCCTCTACTTTTTTAAAAAAATATATAAGTAGTATCATATTACAAGCTTTATTTGCCAAGGAAGGTGAAGTCCGTAGTACTTCTCTATCAGTCACCTTTCTGAATGACAGCTTAAGTAGTTGATTGGGATTTTGGTTTTAAAGCATTATAAATAAATCCAGTCTCATCTGCCAAGCGACTTTACATTTGGACTCCTTTAAGGAAAAAAGACTGTAAATGCAAACACAATTGACAATTCTCTGAAACTTGCACCAGCAATGAACTGAGCTCTGTTTTGCTGGGCAAGGACTTCTACCTTTATTCAGCTCAGTGCATCACTGCAAGAAGCTGAATGTTTGGCAGTTGGTATTGTATTAGATGCAACTGACTCCTGTTACAGTTTAAGTACTGGAGGGTTTTTGTTTTGTTCTGGGTTTTTTTGTTTGTTTTTTTGAGGGGTTGTTTTGATTTCTTTCTTTCCCCACAAACACCAAATTTGTTCAAACACCAAATTGATTTGTAAATCGATTTTTCAGTTACAGTTGCAACTTGCTGAAGCAGATCTTTAAAAATGAACTGTTCCAACATGACTTACATTTATTTCTTAGAGATTTTAATTGAAAAACAATTTTTAAAGATCACTTGATCCAAAAGCATACCATGGGTTTCCACAGAACTGATTAGAGACCTGTATTCAACCTATGCATCAACAAAGCCTTCATATTTTCCACTACCATGAGAGAACAACATAATCAAGGGAACACTTTGAACATGGAAGCCAAAAAGTTTTTTGTGATCTAAGACTGCATGCTCTGGAGGACATTTTTTATTTAAAAAAATACGATCGGCAGAGAACCTTCTTCCAAGTCATCTTCCGTAGTTCCACGTAAGAAGTAGAGCCGTTCTCACAATATATGCCTACTGTCACCTATTGCTCAAATGATAATTCTGTACTAATTGCTCCCTATTTAGCAAGTAGCACATTTTTGAACTCAGGCTGACATAAATTCCAAGTATTTCATTGGATTATCAGAAGTCAGGGAGTGGATGTCTGGACTCATCATTCCTTTCTGTTACTAAGAAATACCAAGGAGATTAAGGAGAAAGTTTTCTGGAGGTAGAAAGCAGAGTAGCTACCTTGCACGATTCAGTGTGGCTGGGAAACCCCAGCACTGGATAATGCAGTGAGATGCACTTAAAAACAGTTTAGCAGAAAGGGCAACATGGAAACCCCAACCTTCAAGAAAAACCTCTGTCAAGACTGTCCGTATGTGAAGAGAGACACAATGACTGCAAGTCCAGCTTATTCGTAAAACCACATACATAAATTCACACACAAACAGGAGTCTACAAAGTTCAACAACATCAAATGTCACCTATAGCATGCAGTACAAAAAAAGAATTATGTTCTTCTGATTTTTATTTTAATATGCAGTACTTAAGTGTTCTGCATACAAATTCTGAAGTAGGGACTAGCTCTTCAACATATATGAGCACATCACAAGAAAACAACTAGCAATATAAATATATACTGAAAGCAAAAATGCTCTTGATTATGTTAATTTTTGCTTCCAGGAATTAATCTGGCAGGTTAAACTGCATTTATATATTTTTCCTACAAATACCACAACAAGTTTTCAAAAAAAAGTGAAAGGTTAAGAAATTATCTGTTACTACTAGAAAAAACAACCAACTGGATAACCTGACTTCTGCATTAGAACATTTGTATTAATTCCCATTTCACAAAAGCTTTTATCAGTTTCAAGAACTTGGTAGCTCTACAGCCCCCTCCTCCAATCAATACTGATAATTATTTTTCAAATTCTGTAATCTTGAGCTATAAACAGGGAGAAAATACTAAAGCAAAAAAAGAAAACAGTGAGAAAACCATCCGCCACAGTATTATATAAATATTTTCTCTGTATAAACTAGTTAATTACATTTCATAGCATATGATCAATAAATAAATAAAATCCCTGTTACTCATTCAGAAAAAGTACTTATGTCAATGCAATGGATTTTGAAACTATATGAAGTAAACAACAGTAAAATGAAACATTTGCCAAAATCCACACAATATGAAGTGTTTTCCATTCTCTACAGTCATTAAAAATCCACTGGTTTTGAGTTGGATTCAGAAAAGAGGATGCCTAATTTTTCAGAAGCTTGAACAGCCTTCTTCCTTTGCAAGCAATTAAAAATCAGAAAAACCCTACATCTCTGGGAATAAAAAGGAGATTTAAGTATCAGATCTTGTGCAAATTTACTTAGAAATAAAGAACAAGTGCAATTAAATGATAGCATAAATTAGTAGGAATAACATATACATTGACTATTTCTGTAAGAAAACTTCCAAATCTATAGAGAAAAGGCTCCCTTAAATGTATATAGTAGTCTGAACAGAGAAAGGCCATAACTTTTTCAAAAATATACATAACTTATTTCAGTATGTTAAAAACTAAATACCGCTGTTAAACTTCAGCACAAAAGATAATCCAAGACAAACCACCAAAAATCCTTTAACAAAATAAAGGTGTGAATTACAAAAAAAAGAGCAGTTCTGCATGGCAGAAAAGGAAGTGATGTAGTTCAGTTTCCATCCAAAGCAACAGCACAACAGACCATTTAATATCTGTAGGATTAGCCAGAATTCCATACCATAGTCAGACAACACAAGCTTTATCATTTGCATTTAAACCTCATTTATCAAGACATAAACACACAATGTGAAATACGTCCTTGGCTGTTTGAGCTGCTATTCTCACATACTTTGTTACAATAGTAGTAGCAATGGAGTGAACCTTAAGAAGAGAAAGTAAAATGCTTCAGTGAGTCTCTCTTACTGACTCAGGAGAACTACTTTCATGCTCCAAAGAGCTACAGCCATTTTCCTCTGGCTAACAGGGTGGGTCGAGAATGACTCAAAGAAAGACAAGGCAATAAAAAGAAATACTTCAAAAAATTACGTTTAAAACTACCTGTTAAATTAAAATATGCTGAATAGATAAATATCCCAGCAAGCAAAGTGATCTTACCAGTAAACAACATCCAGTGGTGCAAAATATTTCTTCATAATTAGGTCAGCAAAATAAGCTTCTGTTTCTCTGCAGGCCGTGCCATTGCCAATCACGACAGTGCTACAGCTTTGCATGGGGTAAAAAAAAACAAACAAACAAACAAAAAAAAACAAAAACGAACAACTGTTCTTTATTCTTTTAGACTTTCCATATATAGCATTCAATCCACAACACTGGCCAATACATCTTATTTTATATAACACAAGGCCTGGATTTAATGAAAACCTATACCTAGTAATATCACATTGTGTTTAACAGGTTTTCAATGTGACAGTTCGAGAGATGACTCAAAATTTTCACTAATTTGTATTGAACTTGAACAGTGATAATACCTGCAGGAAAATCAAAAATGATACTTCATGTTTATAGAAGAAAAGTACTGTTATTTACAGTCCTCAAACACTTTCACTTCATATTTCCCTCATCTATTATGAGTCACAAAAAAGGGCAGAAGCCCAAGCAATCAGGATCTTAATTCCATAATGGCAACATCATAGTTTGCAACAGCTTGCAAGGTCATTGCCTCTAACCGTCCCCACCACAGTCAGTCACCCATCAAATCACCTTGTTTAAAGCCAACCTAATGCTTGAAGACAAACTGGACTGTATGCTGTGGCAGTTCTGCAGCTGATTCAGTAGACCAGATGTCTGTCCACAGGGGATCCCAAAATAGTTGGATACAATAACCTTTCAGTCACACTGCCCCTATCTATAAGTCTGTCTGGAAATCTATCCGAGCAAGATTACTATGAATAATAAAACTCTTCCAAAAATTAAATGCGGGTTTTGGAACAAGGCAAGAGCAATGAGTGGTCTGGGGGTTAGGGTGGGTGGGAAGAGTGAGGCTAAACTTAATCCTTAGTTGAATGTTAATTTCTATTCCTACAAATAAATGGGTTGACAGAGCTTTATGGTGATATATTTATAGCATGAAGCTTTAGTCATAGCCATGGCTTGATTTCATATGCTTCTATCATATAGCGTAAAAGCATGATCATAGACTAAAAGAAAAATAAGCTCTGAACTACTTAAAAAAAGAATAATTCCAGTTAAATCAGTAGAATTCTTATTCAACCCAAAAGCAAGTATTTATACAGTGAAGATTTTAGTTGTGTTTGAAAGAAAAGAGTGATAAATGGAAGTTTCTTTAGCATACTTGTACTGGAGCAGAAGCCTCTTGATCTTCTCAGCTTCACGAAATCCTTGACCAGAATGCAAGTAAACGACATCAGTATGGAGTATCTGACCTAGAACAATGAAAGGCAAAGCTATTTGATAAAAAACACAAAATCCAAAAGCTATATCCTGCAGAACTACTAAAGTTAATTTGATGATTCTCAGAGAAAGCTTCTTAATAAAGCTATCTTCCCCTTTTATTTTGTATGCAATTAGAAGAAATGTACGGTGGGCAGAGGACAAAAATGTTTTGGCTGCCAAAGCAAAATGAGCTGATACACGTTATAGTTCCCTGGGGACATATCCACAGAACAAATGATGAGCATCTAGTCATATTAGGCAAATAAAGTGCGTTATATTATCAAAGAGAAAACCAGAAATTCACTGCAAGTGATTTATTGCTCTACTCTAGCACATTTTACAGATGCAGTGAAGACAGATGAAAATTAGAAATGCAATCTCGGGACTTACAGTCCAGGAGCTCTAGAACTCTAGCGCCAGCTCTTGCCATCATACCATCTGTCACATTTGGAATTAACTGTATTAATTAGTACTGGTAGCTTATGGTGCAATGCAAGCTTATAACCATTTACCTTGCAGCTTTACCGCCATTTTAACACGTGTCAGACACATCTTTCCTTACACCTGCGCTAGGTAGATATATTCTCAGACAAGAAGCAAAAACAAAATAAAAGGAAAACAAACCGTCTTTGCATCGGCCCAAAGAGGTATGTATCCCCAGATCAGACTAGGTTGAACTGGAAAGGCTCTGTTCTATACCTGTCTGGAAACTAAAAAGTTTTACAAATACAATGTTTCTGACTTCTCACATTAACACACATATTACTAAACAAAAAGGGCCGATAAAGTGTCCAGATGTCCCAGATATTACCCATGAAAAAAGCAAAGTTATATAAAGTATTTAAATTCAAATTCTTTATTAAACAATAAAAATGCCAGGTGTTCTCTTTGGTGACTACTGAGAGGCACAATTATTTGAACCTGTATTCAAGAAGGCAGAAAGGATTTTAAGTTATATTTTAGAATGAAGTAATAACACCAAAGGAGATACTGGAATCCAAGTGCCGAAAACTTAACATTAAGCCTGAAGAAAGGAATTTGCATGAGAGGATGCACAGGAAATACTATAAGCTTACCAAAAAAAAAATCAATTTGATAAAAAACAGTGTCTTGAAACTATCCTTTCCTCTATATGAATATATTTTTATCAGTCCTTTCAAAAATATTTAGAATTAAAACTTACTGGTTGGTGAAATAATTGCCAGCTTGCAGCCATGTTTGTAGCCAGGATCTACTCCCATCAAAGTACGGCCCCTCACAGGGCTGGTCAGAAGCAACTGCCGGAGATTTCTCCCAAACATCATCACAGATTCTTTCTCTGCATCGGATGTCAACTTTGATCTTAGAAGGATGAAAGCAAAAACCATTTCCCCCTCAATTAGCTTTCAAATGCACTTTTGAATTGTTCCAAAATTGTAAGATGTTTTCCAATCACATTTTCATTATCTTTAATTAAGTATTACACTTCCAATCAAGTTTTTGACACTTTTTAAAAAAGGATCAGCTATACAATCATCTCATTCTGGTTCTAATAAAGTAAATCAACATAAAGAGTATAATAGAAACAACAATAAGAATGTACTCATACCAACTAACATTCAAACATCAACTCATCATTTTGAGCAAAGAACAGCTCCCCATCAAAGCTGATACCTAATTACAAAGAAAAAGGGATTTAAAGAATGTATGGATTGATTTCATCGTAACTTCCCAGTTATGGAGAAAAAGACAATCATTACCCAGTAAAAAAAAGGATGACCATTTAGGCTGAGAGGTAGTAGAGAGAAACTGGAGAACCCTATCCAATTAGTTGCTAACATATCATGACTCATGAGGCTTTTAATTTTGCCTACAAATTATGTTATTTAACGGTCATCACAGAAATGTGTAGACTTGAGATCTTTCTAGGAGGGCATTCTGCTTCCTCAGAACCAAACTAGAAAGCTGATGGACCCATAATGTCTCTACCTTTATTTTTCTTCTTTTTCAACAGAAAGAAGTGAGTTAGAGCAGCCAGGATTGACTTTAAGCAAGAACACTTACTGCAGAGTGTTATGAGAAAAAAAATCAGTCTTGCTGAATGAAGGCGTGCAAGATGCATGATGTCTTATTTGTCAGATGTGGCCAGTAAGACAATGACTGACAAGTTTTTTTGTCATGGTATGTCATCTTATATAAAAAGGGCAAAATTGAAATAGTAATGGGGGGACAAATATTCACCATCTAGCTGATTTTTTTTCCCCTCTTTTGCAGGTACTCATTGCCATTTTCAGCTGCATTATTATTGTAGTTATTGACAATGTTAGGCAAGCAAAAGCAACCCAAGTGAAGTCTTCATATAACTTAAAGGGTAGCCAGTGCCCTTATTCTCCTTTTCCTTCTAACTGTCACTGAAAAAAGTAATATCTGGGTTTATTTTTACAGATGAAAAAAATCCTGCATTTCAGTTAATTAACCCTTTAAGAATGGGGCGGAGGAAATTACTCGAGTAGTTTAGGTCAATCAATGCGTGACACAAGCAGGGTAGAAATAGTTCAAAAGACGACCCTTACAAGGGCTATTTGACCTGATGGAACATGAAGCTGTTCTAAGCAATTTTCATATGTGGAAGAATTTAAGAGTTTGACTTGAATTTGCCCAAATTTGATCTAACCAAACCACCAGCTCAGCCCTGTCTCATCCCTCAGTGGTACAGAAAGAACGGGTCAGTCCTCATTAGCTCTCATTTGTAAAGTGGTCAAGATAGGTGTAGATTCTCTCACACATTTTTGATCAAACATTTTCTAAGGAAGTGTGCCACAGCAAAAGGCTCCCTTATATCCTGGTGCTTTTTGTTTCTGTATCAAATATACCAAATTAACAGAGACATGATTTAAAGTGAGATGGTGAAGGGTATACATGCATTCCAAGACACCTCAGTAATTCAAATATGCCCTCAGGATCAAGGAGCAGACACGCTGTATATTGCCACCACTACAAACAAGAACATGGGGATGTCTGCACTATTTGGGGTAAGGGGTCCCTCTATCCCAGCATCCTATCTCCAAGTGTGGCTATAAGCTGCTGCCTATGGAGCTGATATAGCAGCACTAGTATACCTGTCTCAAAATCTCACCCTAGCCTCCAACTACTTTCAGCTCAGAGTATTTCTTGAGCTTGACATGATTTGTCTCTTTAGTAGCCCATAACAGATCTCTTGTCCAACTATCCAGTCTCCTACCGAACACATGCAGATTTCCTGCATCCACATAGTTTGCTGTCAGCAAGTTCTGCAGGTCCATCACAAACTGCAAATAGCTGCCACCTTTTGGTTGGAAGCTGATTCTTCTTAATTTTTATGGCCCTCTATACTGGAAGAGAGTAAAAATTTATCCCTAGAAACCCTGTGCTACTCCTCACAAACCACTCATTTCTAAGTCGTCTCTTTTCTAAGCTGAAGAGTCATAGCCTAGTCAATCCTTCACCCAGAAATTATTTCATATCTTGTTCCCCTTCACTGGGCCTTCTCCACTTCTAATGAATCCTTGTACTACTTTTTTTCCCCTCTCCCTGAGGTGAAGGCATCAAAATGGCCAGTAATATTCCAAATGCAGGCCAACCAAACCAATGATTCTCTTTTTTGTCTTTATTCCTTAACTACATAATCTTATCTTCTGAGCACTTATCATTAATGTGGATCTATCATCCACAGTGCCAAAGTATCTTGTCAGGATAGCTCAGAGCTCATTTTTTTCTTTAGAAGAAGAGAATTAATTCCCCTCACAAGCATCATTTTACACTCATCTCCACTGAATTTCAGTTGCCATTTCATTTCCTGGTCATTCAGTCTTGCAACATCCTTTTCCCATTCTTAAAAAAAAACAAAACAAAAATAACCTAAACCACAGTACAAGCTTCTTCCAGGTATAGTCCAGGGACAGAACAGTTTGATGTCACTTTTGAGAGATCAGAGAAAACAAAGCAAATATCGAAGCCTCACAGCTGTATGGATTTTCTACGTACAAGCACAATACAGATTCAACCAGTTGTACACGCATACAAATGAAGTCTAAAAGTGACTTGTAAACAAGGGAAGGTTGAATGCTCTTGGGCTGGAGGCTTTGTACAGAGACAGGCCAAGTTCCAGCTTTCCACCTGTCCAAGAGATATGGGGTCCCTACTGCCCACACACTGCAAATTCACATCAACTCACCTGTGAAGGCAGACTTGTGCAAGAATTAAAATTGCCCCTAAACACATGTTATTAGTTACATGCACCTTATGGAAATCCTGTTTAAAATTGGCATGGATATACAGAAACTTTTATAATAACAGGAAATGTTACTGAAAGTGCCAGGTGCGTAGGGGGAACATAACGTATGTCCTTTCTATTAGATAATATCCTGTATTTTTTAATTTCAAATATAGACCTCCCTTTTTCTCCCTACTGTCTCTCACTCAACACTTGTATCAATACATGATCTACCATCCCAAGTGTTGGCCCTTAATTTCAAGTTTGGGATAGTCATTTGATCCTTGAACAAATATCAAGCTACCTCAAACAGTCTAATATCTTCCTATTTTTCAGTGCACTACTGGCTTCATCCAAATGGCAAGATGCCTAGCTTCATGTTTTTCCAATTTGTGACAATTCCCATTAATATGGCAGAGATATAAGGCAGAGGCGGACAGCGGTCCTCCTCCCTAAACACAAGAATGGTTAGTTTGTAAAAAAACAAAACAAAACCCTTCAGTTGCTACTTCAAGAAAAAGTATCAACCAAGCCAGAATTTCCAGCCCCTCCCTTGAACTCTATGAAGCACTCAGACTATATATCACTAACAGGTATATTGTAATAAAAGCAAATAACCTAATAATGAGCTACTAGCTTCTATATTCAATGTTATAAGTTTTTAAATTGAGATTTAAAACTCCCCACTTCCATATACAGTCTGAGAGGCAATCCTTTCTGTGGAAAAATATCTGCAAACTAGCTTCAGGTGTGAAACAAGATATACAGAGAAATGTTTGTGTCCCTGAAGACAGAGGAGAGAAAGCACTCAGTTCAAGAAAGCATGGAAAATTAGGAAAGGATTATCCATTAAAAAATATGTCTGTGCCACATCACTTGCATTAAATCCTGATGGAATCATTCCATGCAGTACTGCAACAAAATAAAATGTATTTCAAAGAGCCAAAAGCAACACTGGACATTATTATACCAGATACAAGAAATGATGGTATCTGACAGAGTGGAAGAAAGGAAATTAAACAATAAATAAGGTAACTGTCTTGCTGGCAAGTTTCACTCTTCTGATCACTAGAAGCACCAGAAATTTCAATACACTCTCGGAAACTTTCTGTTCCAACATTTAATAATAAAAAGAAAAGAAAAAAAATAACAGTGGGGGGTGGGTTGGAAATATTAATGCTAAAAGGACGTATTGAATACTTTAGCAGCCCTTTGCAAGAGTCCTGAAAATAAGCTTCTGGTGTGGGCGAAAAGAGAATAAAAGAATGGTAAGGGTTAAGTGGTCATGGACCAGGAATACGACTGGCAGGTGCTTTGCATTCCTCTCTATAGGAGACATTTCAGCTTTTCCTAACCAGACACTGCCAATCACACAAAATTACCACAAAGAGTAAAACATAAGCATGCATCCGTTCAGGAAAAGACAGCAAGCTTTGTATTCTTTGCTTTTATGACTTGTGAGCTACATCTAGGAAACAGTAAGGAAGGAAGGTTGATATTTTTTTTTTTTTAATTAAGAGAACTGAAAACCTTCAACTACCTACTGCTGCAGCAGCCCTCAGTGTTATACACAACACACAGGCCACAACAGTTCTGCGATAGGAACTGCAAAGCAGAAACTCAGTAAAAGAGCCTTGAAGAACCACCCTTAAGTCAGTTTGTTTATTTATAATAAAACCAAACCCCACTAAAAGGTAAGTACTTTTTCTTTTCTTTTCTTTTTTTTTTTTTTTTTTTTTACAAGAGTTTAATCGTAGAGAAGGCTAGGAACAACAACTACAGTTGGACTCACCATCTTAAGATGTTCATAATTTTGGCCAAACAATAGACACAGTACCTCTCCTATGGCAGCTAGATGTACTGTGGTCACAAAAAAATAAGTGAACTCACTTGCAAAAATCTGTGAGATTTACAGTAGCAAAAAACAGGGTCACTAATCAAAAGACACGACACAATCTTGCTTGCAAAGTAATGAGGAAACACTACATACTGTAGTGAAGAAACCCAAAAACCATTAGAAATATCTGCTGTTCAAAATTAGCTGACAGTTCTTTTCAGAGGAGAACATAGAGCATCCAGCCAATGATACTTGTGAAAGAAGTGCCAGGAAAACAACTCTATTCTGAACAGAAACATAAGAGCACATCCAGGCAGGTACAGAAGAACATTTCAAAATGTGATTGCTGATTTTTAGGTACTGAATACCCAATGTGCCATTTTGATAGAAGTAATTTCAACATTTCTGGTCCAAGAAACAAGATCTTTTTGATAAACTCCATTTGAACTACCTCAAAACAAGTATAAAATTTAGGTCACATATCAGAAATCCTTGCCAGAATCAAACATGTTATGCTTTGGGGACCTTCTCTTGTATTCAACAGAAGAATCACGCCATCAGTACTGTTAGCCATTAGAAGATAACATTTTTAGAATGTAGACTCTTTGACATATTAAACAATTTCAATTAGGTGGTAAACACCTATACTACTCCATGAAAATACCCTATGTAATTAACATAACTTTGATACTAAGTTTTAAATTTCCTTTAAATTTAGAGCAATATTACAGATCTTCTAAGTGACACTGTCTGATGACATCATTACTTCAGTATCACCAGAAATAAGTTTACTGGCTTATCTAGAGCCATTGGAATGCCCACAAAATGCTATCAGCCTAACACTAAGACTAATTCATTTACCACAAAGTGCAGATGACAAACATGAGGGATGCTTCCAACCACAACAATTACTTTCCTGGTTTCTTTCAGACAGGTAAGAGGAGCCAGCAATGTCACTGACAGTACTATTGCTGTGACATGAAGAAATGCTGGGAAAATTCAGTGACATAATGGTTTATGCTAATACAAGGATAAAGATACAACTATTATGGTAACATAGATCTAAACTGCACTTTATTAGATAAATGTACAAGCAATAAATATGTAAACATATAGAACATCTTCACAGAAAGACCATTTCTTTACTGTAGCCTAAACTGGGTCACAAATTAAATCTGCAGAATATAGTCAATTTCTTCTGTAAGCACAGAGGATTAAAAACATGCTGATATTTTCAAATGGATAAAAGATATTCTAATAAAAAGTCGTGGAGAGAATTGTTAAGAAATTGGCAGTATGAAAATACACATTCATTCTGGGCTTACCTGAATTCTCTACAAAGCAGAGGATAGATAAGGCGTTTATATGCATCCTCTATGGAATTCCGTAGTATCCTCATTAAATCTGGTTTTAAAAATTGTTTCGGTCTCCATCTGCAAAAGAATAGAAAAAGAAAAATCAAAAAATCTTTTAAGAACATATGCAAAAACTTAGGTAAAGGGAATTTTGAAAAAAAGACTTCTACATAGAGTGTAATGTCCTATAAACTGCAGAATTACTACAATAATTAGGCAATGAAATCATAGCTTCAGATATGAATGGAATGAGAAGTTGCTCATGGTTCTACTACCAGACAAATGACAAGGCCTATCTTTTATCTTTTTTAGTTAGGTATTAGCATGCAATCATAATTTATGTTTTAATGAAAATATAAAAATAATGTTACTCTTCACTTGGAGAAGTCAAAGCTTACTATGACTGAATGAAGAACTTGGTTCCATATTACCATTAGGGTTGCATTATTTGCTATTCCTTGACACAAAAAAAAGATATGACTGAGCATCCTCTGTGAGTGTCACTGAAGAATTACTGATGTAAGGCAACTGTGTCCAGGCAGAAATTCAAGAGCTAAACTAATGTCAGTTAATGGAACCCAATTAAAATTTCATTTGGAATGCTTTGAGTATCTCTATCTAAACTCGAAATGAAATGCATCAGTTTTGCAGCAGTCCTTAAACAACAAAAACCAAACAATTTGCAAATTATTTTTCTCTTTTACCTGTTGCTGATATATTTAAAGTGTAAATAATATTCTAGAAAAAGGGAAAATTAAATAAACACTATCAAATAAAAACAAGGCTATTTCCCAATTTTTTCTAAGCCAAACTCTTTGCAGTATTCCCTTTTCTAAGTACACTGTGCACAGTGGTCATAGCTTTAATGACAATTACTTCAAATTTTGTCTTAAAATACACTTTAGTTTCAAAGCTCCCCAGAACAGAGATCCCAGATATTTATTCCATTGATCTTTTTGTTCTGGGCAACATTATTATGGGGGAAAGCAGGGGAGAAGTCCTTCAACAAGCATGACTGAGTCACTGACATTGTCTACCCAATGAGAAGGGAAAAAGATTGAGGAGACACAGCCAGATATATTATACTCAGAAGTAAAAACTATGAACATTCTCTATTGCCGTCCATTTGGATTTTTTCTTTTTAAAATATTGATAACATTCAGAATTTTCTTCATTTGATGTATTTTTTAATATGCCTGGGTCCCTAACTGCAATGTAAGATATTTACATATTTGTTAATATGTCTGAGTAAGTTCTGTAACTTCTTTGGTTGGTTGTGTTGTTTTTTTTTTTTTTTTTTTGTTTTTTTTTTTGTTTGTTTTTTTGTTTTTTTTTTAATGCAACATGATAGATTTGTGGTCATAAATGCAACATGATAGATTTATGGTCATAAATGCAACATGATAGATTTATGGTCATATGTGTCCAGGTGCAGGCCCAGGCAAAAATAGGACTGAATTTTACTTCTGACTTTGTTGACATGCACTCAGAAATACTGAGAATCCTAAATTGCTCCTACTCAGACAACTTTTCAGTTGTTTAAGGGGATCTACAATTTCCTGAAACAGCTTTTCTAAGTGTCTGTGCATATAATAGTTCAGAAATGTGTGATTGAGTCAACACTGCATTAACAGACAGACACAGGAGCAGAATTAAGCTTACCATTTAATTTTACAACATTCAGAGCTCTGAGTACTTAGCCACATGACCTCATCACTTTGCTAACAGTTTTTGCAAATAGTTCTATTATACTTATTGGTAACTAGAGACTCTTTCCATACCTATATAAAACTGCAAATGCCTTAAGCCCTCTTATTACCATTCAATTCTACAAACGAGAAGTTTTTACAGGTGGCACATATGACTACACTCTCCCAGAAAGTATCCTCAGCACAAATAAGAATGAATTTGGAAACCTGACAGCTGTTTCCGTCTCTCTTCCATCCACTAAAGCTAATTAGCAAATCTTTCCTCTGTAAATACGTTATCACAGTTAGTACCTGCCTATACATGAGTAAAAATTATTTAGGCAACTCTCTATTAGAAACTGCTAAAACTGAAAAAATATTCAAACAGTAAGTTCAGTCATAGGAAATACTGCATTTTAATCATTCCAATACTTCATGAGAAAAGAGAAAAATACACTTTGCTGCAAAAAACAAAGCAAAAGCACATTTGTATATTTTTAAAGATCATCATAGCCTAGTTAAGCTTCCCTCTAAGAACAGATTTTTCTTGATTATTTAATCAAGAGCTGACTTTTAAAGCCCTTTAAATGAAGCCCTATTTAGAAATGCTCCATATAAATAATATCAACTTACTTTGTTCCTCAGCTCTCCACATTCCTGTGCTCACAACAGGGACCACCATAAGCATAAATGGCTTAGACTACTGATACACCTCAGAGGATGAAACTATACATCAGAGTTAACGTAGCCCAGGTTATGAACCACCAGTATTAATTAATTAACGACTGTTCCAGGACAAGCACAGCTAGGGTTTTAGATCTGAAGCACAAAAAAACCCAGAGCTTTGTTTACCTCTAAGTTGTTATATGAAACCTATACCAAGTTGGCAACAATGGACAAATGCCTTTAAGGCCTGTACCATGGACTTTACACATGATCTGAGAATTTTGTCTGGAAACTGAAAAAAGATTATCAAACACCGAACTTCATTTTCAAGGCTGCAATTCTACTTTGCAACAAAATCTCGCCCCTTCCCAAGGAACAACTCCATGTTGTCTTACACTCAAAGCCAGCTAAGCAGCTCTTCTCTGGCTGTTTCTCACTGACCTTTTTCCATGTCCCACTTCACGACTAAGTCTTTGGGACCAGTGCAGTTCTAGTTAATGGAGCTAGGTCTGCTGTCAAACCACAGAAATGACATTTTCTGGGGAAAAATACAACTCATAGGGCCAGGCAATAAGGATATTTCTGATTTTTCAGCATAAACCTGAATCTCAAGAAAATACAGATGCTCCTACAGGCTAATAAATATTCTGAACTTGCAAAGAAAATACAGTTATCTTGGAAAGGATCTACATAGAGCTCAATGCAATAATGAAGAACTCCAGTCTTCTAAAGCCACTTTTTACCACAGGGGTAACTAATGATAAAAATTTTGCCTCAGAAGAACATATAAAGGTCAGCATATTTTCTACTAATTCAATAGGCAATAGGTGATGCTGTTTTGTGGCTAGAATACTGGCGAAACTCTGTACCATGGTGGCATTTCTGCTTCTGCAACTAATTTTGTGTGTGACCTTCAGCAAATTAGTTAATACCTTTGCAAATTTTTGAAATCCTTGCCTCAAACAAAAGTTCTTAACCTTCTGCTCTCACGAGTAGATCAATGCAATGAAAATAATGCAACTCCCACCCTTAGACAGTAATTTCCAAACATGCAAGGCAGAATACACATTTACTATTTGTTAGCTTGACAACACAGTTGTCAATCTAGTGAGGAAGATCAGAATCTGTTCTAGATGATAATGCACCAAGACCTACTAAAATCATACCTTTGGAAATTTTCTGATGGTGGAGAAGTTGTCCTTAAATAGTAAAAAGCCATAAGCATATATAGCCTAACGGATGCTAAGTATTAATAAGTAGGTCCATTTCCAAGGTCAATATTCTTTTGATCTCAGAATGACTCACAAAAGTGTAATCAACCAAAAATATCTCAATTTACATCCCACTTTGATTTCTGTAGCAGTGACAAGCTGTTCCATTATTTGTGGCTCACAGAGCTTCCAAATTCTGTTGTAGACACAGTAAAAGCAAAACTGTCAGATATGTTCTGCCTACAGAATATACGTCGGGGTGCGTGTGTGTAAAACAGATTACATTACAGGTATTAAAATTAGAATGAAACTTAGGTGTGTTTATGAATCCTGATATTTTCCTGAAAAATAAAACAAACAACTTACTCTTATTCCTAGATCATATTATGTTATCTGGCCAAACAACATTTTAACTCTTTCAAAGACTTACATTTTAGAAACAGAATTATTCAATTTCAGCGTAACAGTGACCAATGAAAAGGAATGTTTTCACTACACCTCTTTCTTGGACTTGGTGTGGAAGAAAAATACATGCTAAAGCAGCATCATAGTATACCATTTTATACATTTTAAAAAGTGCGTATTTTCCTATCTTTCTTCCTCCTTTCGGTTATTCAGTTTTAAGATGCAAGGGTAGGAGTTTCTAAGACATCTCCAAAACAATGCCCAATATCTCAAACTATTGAGAAAGAGAAACCTGTCTTTTAAATATGCAAGGAAGATGCACAGTTTGGATCACAATATTCTCAAACAGAGGACATCAAGATATAGTTTTCAAGAAAAAGACTGACAGAGATATTGCACAAAACAACATATATTTAACTTAAACTTACGCAAAAACCCCTCAAAATTATGCAACACTAAGCATCTCACTACAGGCTTAAGGAAAAAGCAACTTGTGATTGCAAATCGTTAAGCAATAAAAGAATCGCCCAAAATTTATAGCCCAGTTTTCTAACTCAGAGAACGGAACACAAGAGTCTGGTCACACAGTATTTGTGAATCATTCATTGAAGACAGCTACATTTATATTTCTCCATTAAATCCAAAACATTTTTTAAACATGTAATTCCTTACATTTGTGAAACTCAAAGTTATGTACTTTACTGATCTAAAAATTTGAGGTTAGCCCTCATTAGTCACTGTAATCAGGCATATTATTTTTATAAGTTAAAAGTCTACTGCATTGGATTCTACAAATTCTTTCCCCTAAAGACTACTGGATGTGATGCATGTTACAATTTGAAAATATATTCTTATTTCATCAGCCTCCGCATATCTTTTCAAAAATTCAATTGCTTGAAGAATGGTGCCAGAACTCCCCAAATACAGCCAAAGGCATGATCTTTTCAGCATAAAGCTACAGCAGCTGGAAATGCAGAATAGGAATTATCCACTTGCAAATTTTATCTAATCTAATAAGTATTTGTTTAAATAGTATTTAATGTAACAAGACATGTGAGGTACATTTCAGTATGCAGCTGTCTAAAGGAAAGGAAAATATTTCTGTAAGAATACATATCCATGCAAACCTTTCATTGACACACCACCAACAGAATTCATTCTTCACCCCGTCAGGAATGTTGACCTTCACTGTCAGGATCTTCAGATTTTCCCCTCGGTTAATGGCCAGAATCTGAGTGCAAACATAAATGGCAAAGACAGATGACACACAAAATATCCAAAAGATAAACTTATCAACATTTGTGTACGCACTTGCTTGACATTCTGTAGCAAATCATGATGGTGGTACAGTAAATCAGTTCACAAAGTACCAGCATTTATAGATAATATCCGCAGTTTAAAACTGATTAAGTCATGCCATGGCGTAACAAATCATACATTTTTCCTGGAGACTGCAATCTCAAGATCCAGTTTATCTTAAACACACATATTATACAAGTCAGCATGAATTTAGTTTGTGGAATTATCTTGTTTAGTAACCCAAATTAAAACTCAATAAAGGAATTGAAAAATTATTCCAATCATAACTACAGATCAGAATGGGAAAAAAGTTAGTCCTATGCTTCAGGCTTAATTTTTCTTCCTGAGATCAATCCAAATTTGAAATTATTTATGAATCAGAACTTGTGACACAAGGGTAATCAGCTTAAGCTGAAAGAGGATGATTTTAGAATTATTCACGCCTAGTTCATAAATAGCAGAAACATTTTAAAAAGACTTTATGTTAATAATAACACTCCAGCCCTAAAACATGCACATGATTCTGGCAGACCCTTGTGTACACAAGTGCATATTCATGGTCTAAAGCTAATTTTGGTTGCACACACGCTATCTGCAAACAGAGTTTGATTTTAAATGGAATTCTGGGGCTCTACATTTAAAGCCTGATCACAGTAAGTGTGGTGGACCCTGGAACATAGTGGTGGGTATCTACAAGTCTAATCTCACTATGAAGACATGAAATGTTCACCTGAAGAAGGCCTTGTAATATTAAGAAAACTCACTGGCCAAGGGATTTTAGAAAGAGTAACAGTCAGAAGCTGTCACAAATAAAAACCACGTTTTTAGATTTCATTTTCCCTTTCAAAATACTTTAAAGTGAAACCATAAAGAAAAAACAACTGCTAGAAGTTGACATTCCTGTATGACTATACATGTTGCTGTATGTAGCAGGCCCTGAGCACTGTCACAACAGAGCATTCTGTGTCAGTCACGAACTTTAATTCAATCACTAGCTAACTCAGACATGTCACATATGTTAAATACAATGGTTTAAAATGACTCCAGGACATAGTACCAATTTATATGCCTCAGCCTTACTGCTCCTGTGACATACCAGGCCTGACATATCATTGAACAAAAAAGCTAATAATAAAGATTGCATGTGAAATATTATAGCATCTGGTACCTTGACTGCCAAAGCAAATGTTTTCATGTAGAGATTAGAAAGACATTTTAACAAATCAAATGCTTTCACATTTATTCTGATTTTATATTTTAAAAAGAGACTAAGTTGTATGTCCAGCTAAAATGAAATCAAAATTATTCTCACAACATAGAATGTATCCAATAGAATTATAATGTCATCATTCAGCTTGCTGTTAGCAGGGTCAATATTTGCATCACATTTTGTTTCCTGGCACTCTGTCTACAGAATGTGTCAGTCACCTGAATTTAAACCAGCTGTATCGCAGTCACTAATATTATTTCCATTTTATTCTTAAAGAAATCTGCCTATCTTGTTCTAAGTGACATGCATTCAGAGAAGAATTATCAACCAAAAAATGCTCAATTAAGAAAGTTATTAGTCAATTTCAGCCTCTAATATAATAAAGGTTGTTTTAGTTTTTAAGTAACAGGTTAAAATCTGGCTATTCTTAGACACAAAGTAATCTTTCGGTTCTGGAAAGATACTGTTTTGATATAAGACAAACAGATCCAGGGAAGAGTTAATAAAAAGAACACCCATTTTTCAGAGAAAGCAAGAACATTAATTTGATCTAGTCACAAGATTCATCAAACTTTATTCTGAAAAATACAACAGAAAAATTTTTTCAGAAAAATACAACAGCCTTAATGTTGTACAGCCCTCTTCAATGTTGCAGATTTAGTTAGATTCACTGAAGACGTTTTGTATACTCTGTCAAGGACTTTAATTTCCAATTCCTTCCTGAATATGAGATTAAAAATAGAGCACTTGCCTCAAACATTACATTTTATTCATTATTTCTTTTCCTCCCACCAACTCAGTCATCTCCAAATAGAAGAAAGCAACCCCAAGGCATACACAAATACCAAACAGTTTACAATTAGTCAAAAATGCAAATAAACTCTTGAAAGATTTTTTTTTTCCTTAGTTATGCCAGCTTTGGTATAGCTACCCAAGTATATCCTAAGACAGTCCAGTCAGGTTCTCTTTGCTGCCAAAGGAAGGAACTGTGGCTGAACCTCCTGACAGGAAAATGTTCCAGCTGGCAACACCCACAGGTATCCAACCATGTCAAAATCTGGAGTCAGGCTTTTTAAGCAAATACGTTTTTATTTTTCCTTCATTTCAGGTTACGTATTTTAACTTTGTCAGTCAAACAACCCGACTCCATGCCAGTCCTGATTATTTCATGGCATGTCTCAACGTACAAAATAACAACAGCACAGAAAGTAACCCAGAACAACACTGTGCAGGACAGCTGCAGAACCAAGCTGCAGGTTCCTGCACACCAGTTTATCTCACCGTAACACACACCGCAAGGCATGGTCGTGGCTATAAATGTTTTGGTCATAAAGACACAGGCTGATTCTCTCATAGGTAACATGCTAGTCTACTGTCCATCCCCTTTACTTACACACAGGCTACAGCAGAGCTGGGGTTGTACACAGACCTTTAAGATGACTAGCACTTCCATACTCAGGCAGTGGCCAATTTCAGTGCAGTATTTTATGGAATCCTTTATTTGCAACTCTGCAAAAAGGTGGTTTAAAGCTGACTTCTACTTTTGCCTCTAGCTAAACACATTGAGAACACTTGTCTGTGGGCAGCCTCAAAATGAATAAACAAGGTCTTCAAAACAGTGAATTTTGCAATTGTTCTTCAAATACAACTATTTAACCTGTAGTCCTGGGAGATTAGTAAATTGTATAAACCTGTCAGTTTCAGGCTTCCCTATATCTTTTTTAGGCATAACCTTCTTTCAAAAATCATGAACCAAATGAGAATTTCTTCACTTGGAGACATCTACACCTCTCCCAAAGCACATTCAAGAACACATTTTTAACCAGCTTTTTGAACACAGGAAAGAAGTACTTCTTCAAAAATCTTGGGTGAAGGAGAAACTAAAGACTTTTAGATATTAAAAATAATGGTTGTAACATAAGAGAAAAAAAATGGTGATTTGCATCAGTAGGATAGTATGGTCAAGTAAAAAAGAAATTGAGAGTTATGAGAGAGACTTTGGAAAGTACAAAACTGAGGTTTAAACTTAAGGAAGAAATAGTAGATAAAGAAAACACTCTCCTTATTTCATCGTCAAAACACAAAAAGGAGACAAGAAAAGAACTGGAAAGCTAACAAAGAACTGAAAAAAAATCAATAGAAATTAGGAGTATTTTTACAAAATAGGGAACTCTGCAAACTGCATATGTCAGAGATGATCATAAAATGCATTTTTTCCTCGATTAGTACGAAAGAGCCCTGATATAGCTTGGGCCCTGAAACTTTAGTGAAGCACAAAACTCAGACTTTTAAGATTCATAATAGATAAATACTCAATAGTCAATAGCAGTAAATACACAGATGAAAGACAATATATACCAGTGCAATAACATCCTGTGATTACAGCACTAGCAGCTACAATAGCAGTGGTTATTACTTCACTGGAGAGCCAGAAGGGGAAAAGAAGGAGGCATTAAGGTTAGTAACAGATATAAGGGGGAATAAACTGAAACTGATTGAGTTAATATCAGACAAACTAAGGACACATCCTTGATAAGAAACTGTGCAGCCACATGGTCAGACTGCTGACCAGGTTTAGGAAATTTTGTTTCTAGACCTGGCTCTAGTTAAGCAACAGTTTTCTTTACATGAAAGAGAAAAAAAGGATGCCTTGCACAAGAATTAAATCATACCATCAGTACACCCAGTACATGTTGCATATCTCAGTATTCACCACTCTCCGTGCAGGGAAAACTAAAGTCTTTGACACAGTCAAAGTATTCATTCAACAGGAAAGCACTCAAACACAAAAAAAAAAAAAAAAAAAAAAAAAAAAAAAATCCATTCAGCACAACACTTCATCTCCTGACCAATATACAAATCTTTGTGATATGTTACCACAGGAGTCTTAAATTGCTCTATTGACTTTTCCAGACCCACTAGAAGCGAGTTTTCACCAAATAATTAATTATATAAATACAGTAAATGTTCATACTTACTACAAAGAGAACAACTACAGGTACCTCTTCAAACATCTACATAAGACCTATTAAAAATCACTTGATGTCTTTCAACTAACACCATCCAGATTGGAGGAGAAGCTGGGAAGAGGGTTTAAAATTAGTCCATACAGGTTGTGAAAATTTTTTTGTAATAAATTCCTTTCAAAACATCACACTGGTTCAAAATAGTAAAGAGTGAGAAAGTGAGAGCATATCATAGATATAAAAGGAAAAGCATTCTGCTGTAGAATAAGGTAGCCTTCTAAAGGAAAAGGATATTTCTGGTTGTAACCAGTTTAAAGGAACATTTTTGTGTGTTTTTTTGGTTTGGGGGGTTGGTTTGCACTTTTTTTTTTTTTTAAGCTAGGTTATTGTGACTAAAACAAGAGACAATTCACTTGGTGATTAGCTATGAATCAGTGCAAAGGTCTTGACAGTTGCATTGAGTGTAGCACACTTCAGCCTTTGAACTTCAGTAACAGGGGCTGCCTAGCTATCCAGTCAACAGCTAGTAAGTTTGCTTCATCCCTCATTTCTTTTTTTAGTTATCAAAAAGTCTAGGTCTAGGCTTAGGATAACTGAAGATGCTTCACAGAAGGGAATACTGATGACTTAAAAAACAAACCAAATTTTTGGGGTAATGTATGGGATGTTCCTCTGAGCTGCTTTTTTGGTCACCCCCAATTTTATTTTTCTGGATCCTTCCCTGATACTTCTCACCAGTTTCACACAACTGGTTTAGCGTCAAACGGCTCACAGCACTCTGACTCAGTGCTTCAGCAAACATCCAAAAGAAACCAAGAAAAAGTTTATCCAAGTTTGCTTCAAATACTTACACTTCAACCAAGCAGCTTCTACTATGGCACTATTACCCCAGACTCACCCCTACTGACCATAAATTGTCCCTTAGCCTTTATACCCCTCTAGATAACACTTGCTGCGCACTTGTCACTGGGAAGAGAGACAGAGGGCATGACACACACTGAAAATAGATCACACCAATATTGAAGTATCTGATACATAAATCGTTATATTTGTTTAATGAGAACTAATTAGACAATGTTCATACTGAATGAACAGCTCTCTGCTCGATTTCTTAAAGACAGAGATTAACAGCTTAGTCCTGCACTTCCAGAATTTGAAAGTTTCTATTACCTTTGACAACTGAAAAGCAAAATCAAGTCTCTTTAGAATCAGTTTTAAGCAACAAAATTCCAAAGCAAAGCCACCTTCATTATAGTTAAAATTCTAAGAAAAAAATACAAATTTTTAGGTGTACCTGATGATGCTGAATGTTCTTTATATTACAAGAAAACTCATGGTACAGTTGGAATTTATCAATATCTTTTTCATTTCCACTTTTGGACGACAGTTTTGCCAAGGCTGACTGGATACAAATATACCTTTGCTGACATCTGAATAAAAAACACCCAAATGTTAATAAGATATTTTAGCATGAAACTTGTAACAAATCAGTAGTGCTTGTATTAAAATCAAGCTTGGAGTCTGACCAATTACATGTTATGTTAACTCTAATTACCTGCAGAACTGTATTACATATCTTAATGCTGAGACAGACATAACATATACTGACTGGAACATACCAAGATAAGAGATTCAAACAGACCTCAGAAAACATTGAACAGAGACATTCTGAAGTGAATGGATACTCAAAAGCCAGCATCTGCATTTCACTTTGGTCATTTATTGGTTCGACTTCACACAACAAATTTTGGGAAGTTGCAAAAAAGTTATAGTACTATTTTATAGAAATGAAGCATCTCTCTTGAATCTTCCCAGTCTCAGAATTAATTTTTTGCTTTAAGCTCTTAACACCCATAAAAAATTCCATTACTTTAAAGAGTAACAGGAATCCCCAAGAGCTTCCCAAATGCTCCGTGTGATTATTATACATACAATACATTTTAGATCAACAGGATACATCTGTACAGCACTGCGTATCCTATTAAGGAGCTTCTAATGGTCAAAAGAATCAAAGTGATAGTCTTGTAGTGACAGAACCACCTCTTCATTGAAATTATCACATTGCTATGCTCTAATCTTTTGCTGAAGCTGGCCATTACTCACAATAAACAGCAAACAAGGCTGTCAACTAAACAGAACTGAGCTGATTCAAACCAACACCGCATGCTCCTAAGGTGGCACCTGTTCTCTGATAGCCCTCTTCTCCCTCCCAGATGGTACACAGGAGAGGAAAAAAATAACAGACAACTACTACTCTGTCACACCAACCCACACCAGTTATGACAACACTGAAGTCATGTAATGTAAGAAAACTTCAATTCAGCTAACACAGTCAAAGGATCATTAACTCCTGCTTTAAAAGAACAGACATATTTGTTTGCCTTATTGACTACCAATGCCAAAATCAACCAGCACTGCACACTAATTACATTAACTGGTGTCAAGCAGTAAATTATTGGAGCAATAGCTTAAGCAGATGCACCTCTGAAAAGTTATAGTTTGAAGGAAGTGCAAGGAGAGAAAGCTTTCCCTTATAGATCACTGACTGCAAGGGAGATAGGCTCTATATGGAGTAGAGCCACAGAAGATTCTTCAGGCTTTGGCAGTTACAGCATCATGCCATGCTCACAGAAGATCTCTGCTCCACAGATAGCCAGGCAAGCAGAAAAGATAATGAATGTACCTCCAGCACAAGTGAAAGACCTAAATCAATCTCACAGTAACACTGTTTTCACATCATTAAAAAAAGTGTTAGTTATGTATCTGCACACTATGAGATTGAATCTTCCCATGTAACCAGGAAAGTTTAGAAAGCAGGAGACAAACTTACAATTTCCTGATATAATCCAGTGTATCTTTATCCTTAGCAAAGATGTCAGCTAAAATATGCTGCACTCCAGCCTCTACTTCCTGGATAGATGAGAGTCCTTAGAAGGAAAAACAGTTACAACTCATAAAAAAACTAATATGAAAAATGATTTTACACAACTACACAAGCACTAAGAAAACGTATACATGTTGAAAGAAAATTGATGCAAGATATCCAACTGATTTGCATAGGTTTCGAGTAAGACTTCTAATTAATTTGAATTTTTTTGACTAAGCTTCCTTTCCAAAACATCCGAAAGCATTATATTTTTCATAAGCCTGAAGTGACCAATGCAGTATCATAAGTCAAAATGACACTAAAATGAGAGAAATATAATAATTATTTGACTTTGATGCTAACAGATCTTGACATTTATGATGCAAATGAATTATATACAACAGTAAAATTGGATATTCAAGTACAATTTTTGAGATTTTAGTAAAATAAGTAGTTGCAGCAGAAGTCAACACGTTTTGCTACTGATATGAAAATTGTCTAAAAATCTTTGCAGTCATTCCCATCTTTTCTCTGTGTAATAAGCTCTATAAGTCCACTGCTTTGTAGCGGGAGTTTGCACACTTCTGAGGTTAGAGCACCCTCATCCCCTCTCACAAAACATTGTTCAAACAATGAAGTTATAAAATGTCTCTGTAGGCAAAATATTCTAGAGAGCTGATAACAGGATCACTCAGCTTTCCAACATACAGAATCAACCCTTGCTTCAAAAGGCCAGAAGAGGTGGCACAGTATTCTCCTTAGCGCAACAGCTGAATTGGACCGGCACCAGAAGGTAATGAAATCAAACTGACATCTTGTATTTTAAATCAATATATCTAACCCTGTTTCTAGCAATGGTCAATAACAAATGCCTCAGAGCAAAAAGCAAGGATCCTAGAGCTGGCAGATGCAGCACTAACTCTCTCTAACACACATTATCTTTCACTTTGGTGGTCTATCAAGATATCAAAAGAGCTTTATTAACACCATTTAAAAAAAAACTGCATAGCTCTAATAACCAATATTTGTATTGAATCCAGAACGCTGCTTCTAGGTGGACTATAGAGTTACACATTATAAAAAAAATTCTTGTCCTATTTAAGAAGGGGAATCTAAACTTACCTGCCAGAAAGAAAAATAAATATATGACAATAAAAACATTAAATGCCTGAACCAATCAGAAGTTGTGGAACTTGGATCCTTGCAAGTTTGACTTAGTGTTTCTTATGGCAAAAGCAATGTCATGTCAGAATACAAAGGTGAGGGAGGTAAGACATGCATTATATCAACTATGAACTGAGACACCCAAGAACCAGATGTGTACATGGCAAGATTATTTTAATTCTAGCAGAGAATTTGAATGACAGAGAATAGGCCAAAACCAATCAGGATTAAAGAAATAATCAAAAAGTTCCCATCCAACAAGTACCACTCATATGGGCATTTTACAGTGTCCAGTGCAAAACCAGCACACGCTTGTGTAATTAGAGATATATTTAACCATGTATATAACTAAAAGAAAGTACAAAGTTTTGTGGTGAGCCTGCTTCCTTAACTTTCAAATATCTGGCTTTGAAACATGAACTGCTGGTTTTATTTCAGTTCATTTTTAGTATAAGTTTAAAAACACTGACAATTTGAAAGAACTGAATATTAAGATTTGATGAAAACTTTCCTGTATAGCAAATGGCTCATTCCTTCAAAAAACATTCACTCTGATCTCAGCATGTATAGAGATTGTCAAACTGGCTCTCAAGTTGAGAAAAGTGACCCAGTTCATAGATGTATTCAATTTCCAATGCACCTTTCAAATGAAAACCATTATATAAACATAAGCAACATTACTTTTAGCACAAAATTGAAAATAGGTGTACTAATTTTCAAAAACTGTAATGTTTATGCTGCAAGGAATATCACTTCTTTCTGAATACACCCTAAATAATTTATTTGAACTTTCACCATGAAGATTTTCTTTTGGCTCTTTATACTCTGCCAGAATATCCAGATATGTGCTTGCAATATACTGCTGTATAATGTAATGACATATGCTAAATTGCAGTAATTAAACAATCAGAATATCTGGTTACTAATTTTCAATGCAAAGTTAAGATCATTTTATAAACAATAAATAAAAGAACTGAAGTGAGAAGAATGACAGTCATCCTTACTAAGGAGGTTCAGTACCTTTATGTTAAGATTCAAAAAGCTTTGGGGCAGAGAAGAATAAAAGTATGTCTCCTCTCCATTTTAGCACCATACAGAAGGTTACAGCAATCTTTGTATTTTATTGTCAGAGATTGCCCCCTACAGATTCACCCATAACTGCATTCACGAAGAAAAACAATTCTGCAGTCTGTAGGCGACAACCATGTCATTACAAGTTCCTGCTCAAATTTCAGAGATTACATCTCTAGCCCCTACTGTCATTCAGTAACAAAAATTCTCCCGCTCACTCCACCCCCCAATCACCATGGCCAGTTTTTATTAAGATATGCTTTGATGGGTGATGTTTACTTCAGTACAGAGTATGAGCATAAGCTTCTTGTAAAATCAGCATTGTTTCTTCAATAAACAATTCAAGTAAGAGTAGAACCGTGGAGAGGTCTCAGGTGCATAAAGCAGTTCCCTGACTCTTACCAGTAGTTGTAGATGTCAACTATAACATTTCCAGACTTCTGTCTCTTGTATACCAGAATTATTACTATTTACAGGACAAAAAAAAGTCAGGAAAGGTTGGAGAGCCATGGCATTAAATGTAAGTTCTTATGATATGTTGCTAAAACAACTGCTGAAATTAAGATAGTTGCATAAACTTCCAGCAACAACAAAATAATTAAAGTAATTCCCCTTTTAAAATATTTTCAGACATTTAGGACACTACTGCTCTTAGAAGCAGATCACTTACCTTTGGTATTGGGTCTAATATAAGAAATGAGATTGAGTTCCATAGGATTCTGCAGGAGAGATAGAGCAGCAGGTTCTAATCCCAGCTGCTTGGCCCTCTGAGCTTTGGTTCCTTTACTCCCAGTTTTATAAGGTGCAGACTTCAAACAAATATAAAATATGGTTATTAAAATGCAAGGAAATATTTCAAGTCATGCTATGTACTTTGCATTATGCACTATTTAGTTATGCAAGATTACGTTTAAACTAAGGATGATCTGAAAAAGACTAGTGCACTGACCACATGGTCTAATTCTTCCAAAGTTCTGCAATTCAGTAATGATGTTAAAAGGCATCCGGATAATTTCCCTTCTTTCTTCAACTTCTGTATCATTGTATGCGTCTTCTTTGCAACAGTACTAAAATGCAAGAGATTGATATTAACAGTCACATTTCACAGTGGATTTAAAAGGCTATTGATTGCGAGCTTGTTTATTACACTGCTGAAGCTCTCTGAAACCCCTGAAGATTGTATCTCACGTTAATACTCAAACCACATCTGATAATCCAAGAGTTTAACTGTTACTCTCATTTTCCCATTATTTCAAAACTGTACCAAAATATCTTGTGGTAGATTTAAGAAAAATCATTAAACAATACTGATAATCATTACTGCTATACACAGCTTTTCAAGATTACTGGCCCAGAAGCAAATAAAAAAAAGCCCTAAATTAATTCCATGTTGATGAGTACTTACAGCTGTAATTCATATCAAGACATCTCTGCAACATCATGTACAAGGTATCAGATTTTAAACTCTTAGGCCTTCAGTAAAATACATGCGAGCAACTGTCATCGGCAAAGGAATTTTGTTATGATTTAAATTACTTGTTCAGACAAGAACTCTCTCAGGCTACCTTCCCTCTTTGGAAAGAATCTCTTGCTAGGGGATGCGGGGGGTACAAGGAAAAAGACACCACAGTGACAGAACAGCTGACAAGTCTGTTTCCTTGCCATTTCAAGAGCATATAGCCACCCAAAAGCACAAAGGAATGAGATCAGTCTCATCCACCGCCACAGTGGGCTTGCAGATCATTTCTTTGTTGCAATGATTTGGGATAGTTTAGCCTCTCTCCTGCTACACTACAACCTCAAGTAGTGCTCTTCAGTAGAGGCCCTGCTGCTCCAAGCAGGGAGCCAAGGGATTTTTAGTGATTCTTTTTCAAAGGGTGCAGCTTACATCTAACCAGGCTACCTATCTCCAGAACCTATAAACTACTCCTTTAGTAAGAGTTTTTCCTCTGTAGTTTTAGTAAACTTAGATCTTAAGAACTTAATTCTTCTTTGGCAAATAATGATGCTAGATTTCTTGTTACTCATACTAAAAAAAAAAAAAAAAAAAAAAAAAAACCAAACCCACACAAATGGACAGGTATCAAGTATAATTACAACAGTTTTAAACTTTCTAAGAGCTCCTTTATAGTTGTAGTGTGTACAAAGTGCCAAAACAAAGGACACAGAAGCAGCAGCTGGTTGTTACTTACCTCACCCCCACATGCCTCCCTGTATTAACTTACTTACCGTAGCTCTTCCAAAGTTTGCTGCACTTCTCGCAAGGCATCGGCCTCCAGATTATTGATGAGCTCTTTTCGATACCGAGCAATAAACGGAATTGTGTTTTCTTCTCGAAAGAGGCGAATTAAGTTTGCACATACCCATGGTTCAACATTTGTTATTTCTGACAAGGCCTGTCAAAAGAAAAAAAAAAAAAAAACAATAGAACAACAACCCACCATTTGAGAGCTGATGGATTGCTTTCAACAGCCTCTCACTCAATGTTTTACATCACCCTCAAAGTATTATGCTGGCCAGCAGGGACAACTGTCCTCCCTAAAACAGGATGCCAGGCTTCCCGATTCCAGCCACCACAGCTGGTACTTCAAAAAGACATGCAGCAACCAATGTTTCCAGAAACTTGTAACTACAGAAAAAAATGCAGGAAGGAGTGCTTCTTGAGAACAGAAAAAACAAACAAACAAAATCAGGAGGACAACAAACTGCCCATGGCAACTCAGAGAACTTGGAACTACTTCCCCCCCCCAACCCAACACTGACATACCTCATGGTTAAACAAAACAAAAACAAAACCCACAAACCCAAAGCTGATCCAAATCCTACTCCACCAATAATTGGAAATCTTTCACATTAGTTTCAAGATGAACCAAGTCTCACCAAGTTAAACCTGTTTTTTTACCAATTGGGCTTTCTACAGATAGAGTTACAGTGTATCAATACAGAATCAAGGAGGAACTACCGAAGAAACTTTGCTTAGTAACATTTTATCAGTTTGTTTGTACTTCCCTAAAGTTACTCCCATAAATGGCTGATTTAAAAGCGTCTCAAGAGTTCTGTTCTGAAGCCTGAAAATGTAACAACTCCTGTAAAATCATATTCACTGCTTTTAGACCAGCAATCCATGAAGATCAAATTCTCCATCTGCATTTCCAGGAATATTTTAGAAGACTCAGGAACAGAATTTTACACCTTTCTTAAGGAAGCAGTACTAAGGACAATTAATAGAATGTGAACCTTCCACAACCATACTGAGCCTCCTAGAACAGGAGCTATCCTAAACCTGTCTTCACCTGAACAACTTCAAAGTTCACATCCTACGAAAATAAAGATGATATCTTCCTTGATGTCACTGTTGTTCCAAGAATGCAATCTCCTCCTTGATGGTATTGTAAATTGATATACACTCTCAAATGAGTCTCTACAATGAAATAATTCACACTAATGGAGTCTTCAATTCTGAAACTGTACACACAGACATCCCAAATCTTTCAGCATCCCTTCCTGCAGGAGTTTCAGTTGACTATATCCACAAAAAAAAGCATGGTCTGATACAGAAGAAATGTGCCAACTGTTACAGGGAAGCTTTGTACTAAGGACTGCCTAAGTCACAGATATTAGAATAATGTTGAAGCTTGAAGTTTTAACAGTTACCAACCAACACTTATATTTATACATGTATTATGACAGTTTAAGCAGATATTAAATGACTACTTAACACCACAGTGATTCTCTGATACTCCAACTCATGCCAAGAGAACTGAAATTGTATTAAGATTCCAAGTGCTAATTATGGAAGAAATGGATTCATTGATACATCAGAAAAAGAAAAGATCTCATACCTGTACAATATCCCAGTTCATTTCAAATTCTTCTTTTACTTTGTTGCCTCCTAGATTTTTAACTGGCTTCCCTTCAGGGCATGTCGTTGACTTAATCTTTTTAAAAGGCGGTTCATCAAATGCAAAATCCTCCTCAGATTTCTCATGCTTCACTTGATTCCCCACTACAGGAACACTCGTTGAGGGTTTTTCATCATTCTCTAAACTCTTTACATTCTTCCCTTGGAATGAATTTACTTGCACTTTTTTAGGCACTTCTGGCTTTTGAGTTAAAGTTTTTGGTTTAGTGCCTACATCTTCTTCCTTAGGTTTTACAAGTTGCATTCTATTATCTTCTGCAGGACCAATAGGCAAGGATACATCCTGCCAAAAAGGCATTGAAACCATAATAAGCATTGACTATTACAAACTGGTTCAACATTTCAATTAAAACCTAGGAAGACCTGATACTAGACATCATTTTCCCAAGTGATGTCTCTGGCAGGGAAACGTCAAGCCAGAAATCAAGTAATCTGAAATATATCTTGCGCAGAGGAACAGATACAAACATGCCCAGCAGAACTGTGATTTAAAAGGTCAAATAAAATTATCCTGGGAAGACTTTAATTGGGCTGTCCTTCAGAAGACACTGATCTACAGTCTTTGACTCCACTCATCTCAACAAAACAGGGAACAGCAGGGCAGGGGAGCACTCTTCTAGTGAGGTGCTAGGTGCAGCATTGGAACTGGAACTGAGATTTAGTCTGCTAAGATATTATGTAACCTTGAGCAAGCCACATCTTTCCTGAATTTCCCCAGAGATCATCTTCAGAAGCCAGAAGGACTGGCTTCTGTCATGACCTGACCTCTGATCCTCATCCTTGACAGAAGTAACTAGCTTCTGACAGAAGTACATCTTATATTCATCCTAATAAAACTGCAATCCTTACTGGATTGAACATCCGTGCAAGGAAACATAGTACAGGCCTTCTTTTTGTGGAAGTACCCAGCTGGTGAAAAGCTAGAAGATATCAAGGGTACAACACAGAAACCAGAGATATTAGAGTGTTTAGTTTTTATTACAGAGGTATTTATTTATTTTTATTGTTGAAAAAGATCTCCAGGGAAAGCCACATCCCATTATCTTTGGCCAAAATTTTAAAGGAGGGCCCTTAGACCTGGGACACTTAAATACATAAGCAAGCCATGTTTATCAAATTTACTCAATATTCACAGTAACATTGGAATCAGATGAGCTGATCACTCAGGCAACTGTGGAAAACACAGTTGAAAAAATTCTGCTCATGTTACTTGTCAACCACAGTAATTAGCTGTCTCTTGCTTACAGACACTCACCATTTCCTCTTTTATTGCTACCTTCCTGACCTTTTTCCTGGCCACAGCTGACCGTGAAGCAGCAACTTTTTTAGTTTTTGCCTCATTTTTATTTGGCAACCGGGGTCTCTTGGCCATTTTGCTTTTTGGCTTCCATTCCTCCTCTTCCTCCTCTGATTCAGAGCTCCTGAAAAACAAACAAGTAAGCAATATTGCTTACAAAAAAGAATAAAAAAAAAAAACACATAAGCAAGCCCGTCTGTTTTCTGACATGAAAGGAAGAAAACAGGAAAAATGAACAGAAAGGTAGGCAGTCAGGAAATATAGGTCTTTCATGCTGTTGCAGAGCTACTGGCTGGAACAACTTCCCAAGCTTTCCAGAATCTGGTCACTGGCACGTGTATACACCTGATTCTGTTTGGATAACTGGCAAGTTAGTTTCACCCTACCTTCACTGTGAGCATGAGAAGCATACGTAATTTCTGTTTTATAACTGAATAGAACTTTTGTGCATTAAAACTTTTTAATCAACCTCATGCTTAGCATAAACCTTTAAAAATATCCCAAGGAAAAAGGTAATCTTACGAATTGAAAAGTGAGGGTAGTTCATCATCTTTTGCTGTAACAGCTTTGGCTTCAGATTTCACCCTCCTTGGTAGAGATGACATCTGAAACAAAGGTGAGAAGAGAAGAAGAGAACGTTTAGTTCAAGTTGCATTCTCTTATTCAGCCCTTTAACTCACTGCCAAGTGTGTCCTCATAATGTCTTCACGAATATACAAAAGTTTCCTCTAGAGCAAGTTCAGGTTTCTTAGTATCCAAGAACTTAGGCCGCAGCAGCACACATGCAACGATCATCTTTTCAACAGAGCAAACAGACAAACCAGCACTATAGCACATAGAGCAAATGCAGGTAATTACTTAGCTTTCATTTGAAGCTATCCTAGCAAAAAGAGTACTGGTTCTAGACATACTACTAGGTGTCACTTATAAACTGTGACAGTCTTTCCTCCATCATCCTAAGAAGCAAAGAACATACAATTAAGATCTAATGAAGTGAGCTCACATATGATTTTGATGTGAACAGAACTAAAAGATTTTCTATTTTGATCTAGAATTTCACCTTTAAAGACTATCTGTTGCTTGCATGCATAATAAAAACAATGATTTTTAAAGAGCTGCTCATTAGCATCTAGAAAGTGTATAAAACCATTACCAAAGGGAAAAAATGAAGGCACTGACTTTCTCCTGACCCGAGATTCATACCTGCACTAGCTGCATTTCAGTTAATAAGCTAGAGAATTTTTGGCACTGGTTGGGCCCATGAACTTCATTAATCATATTTTGCAGTTTTAGGTAGAGAATTTTAAGTACCCTCAAAAGTCTACCTGATAGAAAATTAGAATTAAAAAACAGCAACAACAACAACAACAACAACAAAAAAACAACAAAGCATTTCTAATATTATAAAATACATATACATATTTTACCTATACATGGTATAATTTCATCATTCATGTTCTATTCTCCATGTCTTGTACCCAAAAAAACTTTTGCACCTTCACCTTTGATCCAGACTCACCACTGCGATGTAAGCCTTAAAGTCCCATGTTTGCACATACAAACTGGATAAGCATTTTGCAAAGTGCCATTTAACTGAAGGGTGAAACGGTCTTTAATTCAGCTTTATTCTGGCCTCTGTTCAAGCACTAGAAGCATAACTATTGTTATAAATGGCTTCCAGCAAGTTTTTCTTGCAAAGCAGTACCAGAATTTGAGTGACCCTTATCAGCATCCCAGTGGAAGGAGGACTATTGAGGCTGACATCAAATAGCACTAGCTATTACCTTGCTTGCAAAACACCTTCTTGTAGCAATCGTCACGGTCAGTAACAGGTCAACACTTCTCTGCTGTTCCACTGACTGAAATCCCATTATATGACTGGTTAGAATACACAGCTACTACAGGAAAACAGAAACCTCCACAGAGCACAAAAATATTACTCACCTTATTAGCTTCCCAGGTGACTTTTTACTGTCAGTTCTGAGACACTTGCAACTTCAAACAGTCACTCCACCTCAGTTTTCCTTTGTTCTTTACAGCTGAACAATCATTATCATAGTCCCAAATTAATTATATATTTATTCCCATTACCTCAGAAGCATGAAAATAATATTTCCATTTTATATTGTACTTTAATCTGTGAATGGGAGAAGCAAAAAACATCATTCATGTCTGCAACACCAAGATTTCCAGAATTAGGTAACACCTGAGTCAGATGGAGCTCTCTTCCATTTTTTGCAGGCACCAGGACACTTGTCACATGGTTAAGTCTCACAGTTCCGCTTTCAAACTAGGTGTTTAGTTTACAATATCATTATCAATCATGCTTCTTCAGATAATCCAGCTAGGTGGGTATTTTTTAGTATTCCAGGCAATTTTGGAAGCCAGTGATCAGTTTTTAAACACTCTAGCCAGCTTCTTCATAGTTATCCATTGAATCATAGGAAGGAGGGAGGAAAAAGCCAACATGCTTGTCCTCTCACCTGCAGTCCACATTCTCCCTACATAACACTGGGCTCTAAACTCCCCTGCCAGTTTTGAACACCCAGCATATCATCAAGATCATTTGGGGGCTTACCCAAAAGACCAGGTAAAAAGAAAGCCTCATCTGGAAGGTCTTCTTTCTGCTAATACTTCCCTCTCACCTCAAGTGGCCAAGGAGAGAGTCTCAAAATATCTCAACATCTGCATTGTTACCTTAAGTAAGATTATAGAGTAAGCTTTACTCTTGCCGTAATGTTAACTGTAATTCCTGCCATCCAACATTGATGACTGATTTAACTATTCAAACCAGCAAAAGAATAGGAGATGAGCTTCTTGGTTTATGAAATTAGGCATTTTCTACATGTTCATTAACAGATTAGTATTTGCTCCCACATCCTTAAGTCTGAGACTAATTGTCTTCACACAATGCACTGAATGAAGCAGAATTACCATATAGCAAACATAAAAATGGCATAGGAAAGCATGAAATAGAATAGAAAGTGATATAGAATAAGGCTAAGTTTTTATGGGGCACTCATGTTTTTATTTTATTTCTTTTGATTTCTTGGGTTTTCACTTTAAAAAATAATTAGATCACCTTTTAAGCATCTGTTGCATTTCTTCAGAAAGCTTTAGTATCAAACATGTTTAATCCAGAAGATCAAAGAAGATAAAACCAGCACAGAATCCATCCTCTGTCTCACTCACCAATACTGTGTCATTTCTTACAAGCACATAGTGAGTTGGGACTGAAATCAGCTACATAGACTCCAACTTTAATTACATTATTAATCTGCTAAATTTTCTTGAGACGAGTGGTACCTGTGTTCCTAAAGGCTGTTGTTCCTGCACATAAGGTGAATTTGAACTAAAAATGTGAATTTAAAGCACAAAATTTATTTCAGAATAACTCTCCATGAACAGACAAGCCATGGTCAGAAGCCAAAATGGAGTTCTACAGCTCAAAATAAAAGCTCAATACCAAAGAGCATCTGTGAGATGAACGTCAACCATGGGGTATCACAAAGGAAAAAAAAAAAGTCACCATATTTCACTGTGAGATGTGGTGAAGTCATAACCACCTCCCCCTCTTAAAATGTATACACCAAACTAACTGTACTTCTTGCTTGTAGAAAAAGAATCTTGCAGTTGCTACATATATTATTTTTGTTTACAAAGAATTGTTTTATTCAAATCCACAAAAGTACTTCTGAGTTGATTCCAAATTGCCCCAGAGCTGTCTGCTAAATTTTCCTCCTGAGCTGCCTGCACTAGGGTGTGCTAACACCTACAGTAATGACTAAGAAAAACAGTTCTGTGATTCACTGCGGGGTGGGGGGAGGCAGGGAAGAAGATTAAAAAGTGAGTCTAAATGCCACTGATGATGATGAATAACTATTACAGATCTTTTTTTTAAAAAAAAAAAGCTTAGAGACAGTCCCTGAAGTGAGGCAGAAAGACTCAAGAAACACACAAACAGCTATGCTCCGCATGGGGTATCTACAACACTGACTGAACTGACTAGATGAAAGAAATTATAGCTTGCATGGATCTGCATCCTCTTCCCAAAAGCAGAAAAGTCCCAGAGCTGCAGAACCGCCAATTACAAAGCTGAAAAATTAAGAGTAACCAATTTATACCAGTCAGGCCACAGCAAACCTTTTCCCTTCCTGTGTCTGTGTTCAGAATTGCTGTACCTGATTGCAGGTGTTCACAGTGCTTGGTGCCTCCTGTACTTACCACCTGAAGGAAGTAAACACCCAGTATCCAGTGATGTCTGCAAGTTACCCAACCACCCTGTGCAGGATTTCACTGGCTTGCCAACTGGCATATTGAACTCCTACAAGCTCTGTTCTAGCAGCTCTCCTCACATCTGAGATAAGCAGACTTCCAGGTAACTTTTGCTAACACATTTATTCTTATTTTGGGTACGTTGTCAGAAACTTTGCCATAATTTTAAAAATGTTGTTCTGTGAGAGAAAGAGTTCTTAGCAATCATCTCACCAATAGTATTTTAATTCCACACCAGGCAACATGAGCTAGGCCCTGGAAACTTTGGCCTTGACTACATATTTAGGCTTCCAACTCCTGTTTCATTTCAGCTCTGTCAACTTATGATCTTTTGCTTCTGTGCAATAGGCTGAACCTTCACACTAGACCCTTGATTTCCTACTCAAGGGAATCAAAAGTCTTCTGCTTGTCCATCTTCCAGATGACAGCAGGCAGAATGAAATATCATTGCTTGAAACATGCAAATTCTCTTTGCTTCACACACTCAGTAATCACTAAAGCCTTGCTTCTCCATCAAACCCAAAACAAAACAGTTACAGAGTGTTCTTCAAAAGGACTTCCCATTTAAAACTGAAAGAGGACTTTGCAGAGGTATTATGCTGTCCAGGAAAGAAAAGCTGAAACTATTTGAATACTTGATATTGCAGATAAATATATCTCCCGGGTCTATTCTCCAAATAGTTTGGCATCAGTTTTGTTGCCAGTTCTTTTGTTCCCACCACTTCTGTTCTCCGCATCCACAGTGCATTTGAACTACCTTGATGGCTGTAAATAGCACACTTCTCCCTACTTGTCAGCTACTCATTAAAATAAAGCTAGTGTACTTTGGTGTTTCGACATGCCAGGAATAAAGAAGAGTAACAAGGTAGCTCTTATTACACTTCACTGTACAGAATTGTCATATGGTACGCACAAAACATACAGCCAGGAAGTAGTCATTCCTCTGGTCTCTCTCCACAAATAGGAGTTCTAGGCTGCATGTAGAATACAAGTAGATTGAGGCTTTAAAGTCCTTACTATGATAAAGAGCCATCCAAGTCTCATTTAGAGACTGATATTCTCTTCAACCTCCCTATTCATACAAAGATACAACCCATTAAAAGTAAATTTCTTCATATGGGAATCCAGGTGGCATAAGCAACTGCTTGCAGAAAGAAGAGTTTAATAATCGTTTAAAAGTAATGAGACAAAAAAACCTTCTATCCCCCCAACCATTCTACAAAAACACAAAAAAATCCCTGCACTAGCACATGGCTATGTTTTGTAGCTCCACCATTAGAGCAATTTTCAGAGTCAGAAATTGCTCCAGTAATCCTAATAGACTGACAACTTCTACAGGGCACTCAATAAAAAAATTGTATTTAACAGTTGAAAATTATAGAAGAGATTATACTTTCACAGTATGATCAAATTATGGCAAATTTGTATCTCATAACCTTACTACTTTAAGTCACATAAATCTGTCATACCTATAGATCTGAGTATCAACAAAGTCTACTGCCCCTTACAACTCAATCAGATACTTCTATCTGAAGGTATAGGATTAAAAAAAAAAAAAAAAAACAACAAACCACAACACAGAACAAAACAAACATGACACCATCACACATATAACTGAAAATTATTTCAATTTCAATAACTGCAAAAAAACTCTCTCCAGCAGAACAAGACACAAACTTCTAAAGCTCTTTTCCAGTTAATCTAAAGTAATGCATTCCTTCTAGAAAGGAAATCTGTCTATGCAGGAAGCTCCTCAAACTTTGCTCTGCAGCCTCTGCTTTCCTAGCATGAATAAAATAGCAAGGGCAATATAATTTTGCATTTTAGCTTCTTCTTAAACCACACAGTGCTAGCCAAACAACAATTTATTATAACAACAAGCATCAGGACATAAAAAGCACTACAAATCCCACATGACAAGTAAATTTCAGATCATTATCAGTAGCAGCAAAATGACCCACCTCAATAATTATATGTAGGCTCTAAACAGCTTGATTTTGCTTGTCATTTTAAGATACTGCCTTTGCATGATAGAATAACATCCTAAGAAGAAATCAAAGTGTGAGCATACTATCCACAGCAAAGGGGAAAAATGCTACGCAGACCAGTGGTAGGTACTTGTATGGAAATGGATCTATCACTCTGGAAGGTTTTTATCACCTCTAACAATTAAATCATACTTCAGAATATAAAACCAACTTACTGTAATCCTCTTGAGGTTAAAACCTTGGAGAATTCCCAGACACTTTTGCTCAGAGAAGCAGGTGCAATAGATTTCCCAAGGATTTTTGCTGCACAAAGCCAGTCAGGACTGCCTGAGAAAGGAGTCACAGACACACATCAGGAGACTCCCGTGCTAACTAAAAAATTACAGCCAGAAAGAAAGGGAGAGACATATAGGGTACACACATAAAGCAGAACCGTCCCCAATGCTCATTAGAAAGGAAAAGGTATAAGACTAGTAGGAGTACCACCTACTGTTCCTACTTACAGAAATACCACCAAAAAGGCAAACCACCAAGGTTAGGCCCTGAGAAAGCACACTCCCCTCCAAGCCTGTTCCTGTAACGAGTGGTCCCACAGGGGAAAAGGAACAACCTGTATTATGCAGTAGCCCATCGATGAATCAGAAAAGGTGTGCACAAACACTTCCCCTGCATTTTTTTAATCCACTTATCTCAAACCACCTATGAAAACAGACATTATCCAAAACCAGGGGGATACTGCTTCTGATTCATTAACAGACTGCTACATCTTGTGCAGCTACTCCTTTTCTCCCATCCACCAAATCAGCCATACAGTAGCGCTCCCACACAGTTTAATTAAATGGGATGGTTTTGCTCCTGAAGGATACAGAAGATGAGCATCAGTTCTGCCTGGTGACAGCCCCAGCAGTTTATCACACCAATAACATGCATTCTGGAGCCTTGGGGGCACAGGGGGAGTCGAGAGTAAAGAAAGCACCATCTGTTGCTTGGTGACCCACTACCACCCAAATCACTGCTTTTTGACCCAGAAACGTGACCAAGCTTAAAATATGCTTCAGATCCTTCGAAGCACTATTCTCTCCCAGACGACACCCTGCCTTCCTCGGATGCACTGACAGCATTCAAGTGGAAGGACTAATCGGGCTCAGTTAGTTCCCAGGCAGCATCACGGGAATAAAGCATCTCACCAGCCCCTTCCTGCCCCCAAGGAAGGCGGGGGGGGGGGGGGGGGGGGGGGGCACAGGAGGCATCCCAGCGGGGCTCGAAAGCCCCAGCCCGGTGGGTGCCCCAGCCCCAGCCCGGTGGGTGCCCCAGCCCCAGCCCGGTGGGTGCCCCAGCCCGGTGGGTGCCCCAGCCCCAGCCCGGTGGGTGCCCCAGCCCCCCGCATCCCCGGTCCCGCTCCACCGCCCCCCACGGCTCCCGCACAGCGGGGCCCCGGGCACCATTTCAGGATAAGCGGAGCCCCGAACGACGCCTCCCCCCCGGACTGGGGAGGAGAGACAGGGAGCAGAAGCGGAGGCCCAAGAAGAAAACGGCTCGTTTCCACCTCAACCAGCGAGACAGAGGGAAGCCCTCCGCTCGCCGGCGGGACCCGGCACGAAGAACACCGGGGCCAGTGCAGCCCCGCAAGCCGCTACCCGCCCTACCCCGGGCCGGGAGGCTCCCGAAGACATTACCCACTGCCGGCTGCCGCGTTTGAAAGGGCCGCCAGGGCAGCCATGGCGGAGCCGCCCGGCGCGCCGCGGGGAGGAGCAGGAAGCGGCGGGCGCGCCGCAGGAAGCGGGCAGCAGCTGCGGCGGGGGGGGGCGTGGTCGGATGAGGCTCCGCCCACCGCCCCCGGCGCCCCGAGAATCCCGCCGCAACGGCCGGTGCCGGCAGGGGGCGCTGCGCGCCGGAGCGGCGGCGGGAGGGCGGGTGTCGGAACGGCGCCGGGGGACGTGCCTGTGTCCGCCCGCCCGCCCGTGTGGGCGTGGGCCTGGGCGGCTCTTCCCGCGCTTCAGCCCACCGGGCCCGGTCAATCCCGCTCCACCCTTCCATCTCGCAGCGTCTTCAGGCGGGTATCGGTGACAGGGTTCCCCGGGGAGGCCCAGGCGCGGCAGCACCGCACGCCGGGCCCCGACACGGCCTCGAGGCGCCTGAGGCGCAAACGCGATGGCGGGGTTTGGCGGCGGTTACCGGCGCCCCTCTTCCCCTCGTGTTGCGCGGGGTGCAGGCGGGAGGGCTGCGGGGCCGGCGTCCCCAGGTCTGCTGCCTTTCTCTTAAACTGAGAACCGAGAGCAGAGGTGCAAAATGTCTGGCAGTTGTTGGTCGATGGGGGTTTGAAAGCTGCGTGCAGCGTTTCCACTGCCTTTGCTAGCCCCCCCCAAAAAACGCTGTAAAGTGGGTTTAGTTATTTTTCACAGGGGTATTGGGAGGCAGAAATCGTTGTGTGAAGCTGAGATACTGTTTCAAAGGTGACCACAGAAGGCGTGGAAATAAATACATGCCCACTGAATAGACAAGAGCATGTAAATACATACGATGTTCTTGTTCCTTTACCCATGCAGACCAGAACTTGTGTTAATTTGTCTTACAAACACTTGCACTCTAGTGCTGGAAAAATTGTCCAAATGTCAGTCGCCCATCTTAAAGTTTCATATAAAGTTATACTTCCCTGCAATCTCTGCATCTGTTCCTTTTTCACCTGTATCTAGTAAGTTAACATTCAGACAGGATCCTGTGAAGTCTGTCTCACACACAAAGTTTAATGGGTGCTGGTTTCTGGAGCCATCTCTAGAAGAGTGGAGCAAGCAGGCTGTTACATTAAAGCCGCCTTCTGAGCTTCCATTACCCTAAAAGGTCTTCTGCTTTGTATCATAAATATTTGTAACTTGTGGTCATAACTACCAGCCAGCTGTCTTTCAGCCTTGGAATGGCAACATCTTAAATGTAACTAAGGTGTAATAAGCCTAAATAATTCATAATTTTTCATCTTGACTTTATAATAAATGTGTGTTTAACGGTCTGGAATGACTTTAAAAACAATAATGTTCAATGCAGTCTTTCACTTTCTGTGAAGTTTACTGGACCTCTATAGCTTTCAGGGGCCCAGAGAGAGACTTAGGCGAATACTTGTCTTTATGCGTGGGGTTGTATCTCTGGTGCCAAATCTTCAACTGATATAAACTGTCACAACTCTGTTGATTTAAATAGGGCCTGTGATTTACACAAGTTGAGGATCTGACTCACAGACCTCAATAAGACTGTTCACATATTTGAAGGTAATCAAGTGTGTGTTTGCAGGCTCGGAGCTGATTCACTTGGAATTTTGTCCTAGAAAGAGCTGAGCAAAGGGTAGTTTAGTCTAATACTAGGGAAATACCCATTGTTAACACTGAGCTGTTGTAATTTGACCAGCTAATGTCATACATATGAACTCTTGTTAGAACCTGAGACAGTTTTTCAGCTGAAACATTGTCATTTATAAGTAAGTTTCTGATTTTTTATATTTCAGATCAGATGCTGCTCTTATGCCAATGTAAAAACAACCTTTAAATATAGGAACTTGGTGCACTATATAACTAAAGACAAAAGACTGTGAGTATAAATAGCTTTAAAATCATATTTAAATACTTGGTCTGATTATATTTTGTAATACTTACAGTGAAACTTCATGCAGAATATAAAAGTACTGCCTGTGTCATCTGACTCCTTTGATGCACTGCATTAAAATTCCTATGTCTAAGTACATATCATGGAGTCAACTTTATTTCTCTTCTATTAATAGTTTGAAATGAGGTCACTGTTCTTGTAAGGATGGGCTAAGCCTGTACAGCTGATTTTAAAGAAATTACCTATGTAAAAATATTTGGGTTTTTTTCCTTATTCTTGCCTACAGTGACACTGTTCCTTATCTATAATCAGTAATTTTACTTTCTGTTCTGGCATATGTATTCTATGCTGGCAGGCTTTTTTAGATTTGTTTATAGTGACCCCTGCTGCAAAAGATTAAGACTGACGTTTCTCTAAACCTTTAAAAAGGCACTTACCCAATTATTTCAGAGTTCAGTTCAAAAGAACCAAGCAGTTTTAAATTCAAGTTAAGTACATAAAGTCTGAAACTTCTTAATTTGGATAATTTTCAATAAAATTAGTCTAATAATACAAGGCTTTTTCCCTCTCTTACATGTGTAGGATTTACTGTCTAATGCAATGCAATACAGTTAAAAAGTGAAATGGCTGTTCATTTCTCAGATGTAATGCTTGTTTTTCATGTTATTGCTCTTTGATAAGGGCTAGACTTGACACCAATAAATCACTGTCTGAACTGCTGCATGTTAATGTTTTTAGAGCTCCACTCAGGAAAGCACAAGCTTAAGTTTATCTCTACTCAAGATAGCAAAATAGTAAAAAAGCAGATTAAAATATTTGTCTAAGTTTAAACACAGACTACCTCTCTGGTTTCAGCACTTAAGTGTCAGCCTATTCCAGTATTGTCCTGAAGAGAATGCTTTCTCAAGCTCATGCTTAAAAATTCTTCAGCACGAGAAATGTGCATGGGCTCTCTTACAAGCTGAAAATCCACCTGCGCTCAGCACTGGCCAAAACCAGTGCCCCACTTCACCTGAACTAATGGACCCTGCTAAGGGAGCGTGCGTGAGCTGCAGCTTTATGCTGCTGCGGCTTCCTAGCAGTCTGCAGGCTGGACAAAATAAGCATATGCTTGCATGCAAAAGACACTCCATGTATAACCAAGGTAAAATCTCATCTATATATGAGTATAAATGTTATATATGCCTGATTTGGTTCCTTAAACCTGTGTTTAAAGAGTATTACTTTGACTGCAAAGCCAAGCAAAAAGCTGTGCTCATTGCTCCTTGTGTAATCAATAAACTGCCTATTGTGCAAATATTTACTGATGAATGGAAGCATCACATGGAAAATTGTGAGACTAGCATAGTGAAATAGCGACAAGGAGGCAGAATTAAAAACTGACGAGCAACCTGAATTGTCCCTTTTCCCACCACTGAGTGCTTCATGTTGCATCCTCAGCAGCATTCTCTGAGAATTGCTGAGTGCGATTTCCTAAGTCTGATAGAAAGGTAGAAGCTAAACTGAGTGCAGTTGTCCCATATCCTGTATTACCAGTGGGGATTGAATGCTGTATCTTTTCCAGGGTAGCCATAGTTCAATTTAAAACCAAACAAATCTGTGCTTTTAGTGTAGGGTGATGGATTATGCGTCCTGTGGTCAGTGGGAAGAAACTCAGCACAGCTGCATTTCTTTCTCTTTTTCTGGAGCAGAAAAATGGATGCCACCTAAAATGTCAGGAAGGGAGGTGAGCCAGTAGGGCAATCTGCTGGGTTTTCCTCTCTCCTTGAGAACTGGAGGAAATCCAGTCCTTCATAGCGCTCCCAAAATTTGCCATTGGGGGCAGATGCTGGATTACTTACAGTATGAGAGTGCAATCTGGTTCTTGGCCACATTGCAGGAACATGCTGAGTGTCGTATGGTCTGTACTCAGGCTTCATAAAGAATGTAATCCATACTCCTGTTTCCTACCTCAGCTCTTTGGCAGCTCGTGAGTTAGCTGCTTCTGCAGCCATTACTGCTGCTTTGGTGGTGGTGTGAGCTGAACCATGAGATGTTCATGTGTTTTGTTACCATCTTGGCAGACTGACAAAAGTTGCCCGATGAGTGCAACTGGGAGAAGAGAATCGGTGATTTTTAACAGTTTGTTTCTCAACAAAAAGTGACAACATGTAATGACATAAAGGTATATTTATATAAAGGGAGCCAGAAAGACAGGAGAGCTCTGGTGGTGCCCTTAGCCTGTCAGACAGCAGAAGGCCCCAGTCCAGAATTAAGATAACTGCATGAACCTAAGCTAATGAACACTGCTGAGAGGCAGGGTATGTTAGCTTGGGCATGGTGCCACATTAACATGACTCTACATCTTCCAGATGGAAGATAGATTATATCTGGGCAGCTCAGAGCATGAGCAGAGCTTGCTTGTATCTGTCTGCACCTGTCTGCATGGCCTTGCAGAAGAAAAAGCAATAATTTCCCAATTAATTAGCAAAGGCCTTTTGCAAACAATGCAGACATAAGAGCGTCTGCCAAAAAAAAAAGGAGCCCTGCTTCAAAACCTCCTCAATTTCTTTTTGTCTACAAGGCCTACAAGAACATGGCCAGTGTTGAGTCCACTGTCCATCTTGCCAATATACTCACAAAGTGTTTTTTTAATACCCATCTGGTTTTGTTTTCGTCTGTTTCTTCCTGCCTTATATTTATATTTAAAAGTCTCTGAGAGAGAGACCATCTCACTGCCTGTGTTTGTACAAAAAGACAGTGTGATGGCATCCCCATCATTGCCTCTGACTCCTAAACACTTGTGTGCTCAGCAGTGATATGGGTGATCTGTGTTAAGTAACCATTTGATTTGGGACCGATAGAAATGTCAATCAGCAGAAGCAGAGATCTGTCAGGAAATAGCTTGAACTGTATTCATATTTTCTACTTGTCAGCTGGACGAAGCAACAGGATTTTTTTTTTTTATTTTGTGTGGCAGTGAGCGCTTATAAGTGGAAGCTCCATGACACCATTACTTTTGCCACTACTGCAAGGTTATCGCTTTGGTCAGATAGTTAGACCCTACATTTAGCCTATGTCCTGCCTATCCAGAATACTGATGTGATCTCCACCGTTGCAGACTTTGAATGCCTTGCAGTCTTTACAGTATTTATTGCGATGCCTTCTTAAAATGAGTCCTGTA